TCCTCCCTTCCCTTTATTTCTCAAAGATATGAAGGATCCTCATTACAGTAAATTTGGGCTTATTTCCATCTATTGCTAATTTAAAATGTAGAGTCGTAACTAGAGCATACAAATTATAATTACTCATGCTGATGATAGTTCCTTTGAATATTGGGAAGTATAAGACAAACTTTATTTTTCAACAGAATGAATTGCAAGATTATGGGAGGAGTCAAGAAGGTGTTTCAATGTCAGGCCATACTTTTGATCCAGTGGAGGTTCCTTCAACAGAATTTCCAACTGAACAGTTGATGATGGTAAACCCGTTAGCTGAATCCGAATCGCATGGTATAGACATTTTCATCAGATGCAGAGATATTTTAATTGCCAATAATGTGTAGAACATAATATGTATGTTTATGTACTTAAAGATACATTATGGGAGATTTTTTATAAGGAGTTAACTATTCTTGCTATAACAGTTCAAAAATAGATGATGAAAGAATATATTGAAAATTTCAGTCAAATTACTCTATTCTGAACATAGTTACTACCAGTGTCATGTTTGACTAGAAATGGGATTGAATTCCATCTTCACCGATTTTTAGCATGGCCGATCATTTGATTGACATGTGTTAACTCCACCTACATAATCTTGTTGTCTTTTGTCAGTGTCATCATATCCGAGTTTGTGTTTTACCTTTTTGGATTTTTATAACTATTGGATAAAATGAATGAGATAGTAAATTTCCATTCTTACCTGTAATTTGGGCATGCGTTAAATCAAGTGAATATAGGACATAATATTATAATACAATTATGATAAATCTATAGGTAGACACCAGGGGCGTCGTGCCTGTTGGGGAAATAATTTTTTTTTTATTGATATCATTAAGATAGAAGACCTGTTCGTCTGTATTAGTCATCACATGGTCTCCAGGAATTGTATTATTTGTCATTATCTGTGTTTAGTTTATTGCACTTTAAATAGTTTAGATGTCATTTGTTGAGGCCTCGCTAAACAGCGGCCTCATACACTCTATCATTTAGCCTCGACCCGGGAGTATGATGTCAACGGTTAAACCCTGCCCACCACGCCATTTAAAAATTAAAGTAGACAACGAATCCAAGCCAATCGTGGGTCTACAGAGATGATTTTGTGCTTGTGTAAATAAAGATCTAATTTATAATTTCTACATGTATGACATCTGAAACCTAAATAAAGACTTGCAATAATCAGATTTAGCTCTTGCATAGTGTATGTTTAAAGCACAATTAAAAACTTTAAAACAAACTTTTTGTTACATATTTTATTTTTAAAGTAGCAAAATTTAATATTTGCAATAACAGTAAAATTGACTAAAAACCATTTATTTTCATGCTGTCAGGACACTCAGAAATGTTTCTAAAGAATAATATGAGAATTTCAATAGATTGATTAAATGAATTTCAATAGATTGATTAAATGAATTTCAATAGATTGATGAAATGAATGACAAACACCACAAGACAAATGTACAAAAATTAATAAAGATATGTGCAGGTTGGCAAGTAACGAAAAATATTCCCATGGATGATTTACAAACATTAAAAACTGATCAAGAGTAACAACCCCATGAAGTAATTTTCCAAAAAATTTACTTGTATAAGATACTTGTGAAAATTAAAAGGCTTCGTTACTCATGACCATAAAAACAGGGTGATAACAATACGCGACATATAGGCACAAAAAATCAAAACATTGGTACTTTTCAAATTCAATAATAAGCCAAATTATGGGAAGAATTTAAAATAGTAAAACTTAAAATAAACCAAATGTACACATAATCAGACAGTCATTTTGTTTTCCAGTACACTGATTAAACTAGACCAAAATAACTATTAGCAAATGCATAATCAAACATATTAAACACTATGTCTTTTGTAACATCGCACTTCCTAGATAGATTAAGAGTACACGTGCATGTACTGCTTGTTGGCAATAGAGTATCACTGGCGGTAAATTCAATTGTCGGAGTGTTTGTAAAGCCCAGAATTGGTACTTGATCTATACCTGTAATAAATTTAAGTATGTCTGATAGTTGTATACTTCCTCGTCTGTGTGCTGAAAAAGAAAAATATTCTTGAAAGTAACACGATCTATTCATTCAAACAGTCTTACTGTGCAAAGAAATGAACTAAGGTTTATTGTTCAATCAATGCCTGGGTAATAAAAGGTCCAACACATTGCATATGTTCTTTCCATGGTTAGATGAGCAATGTGGGAAATGTTGCCCCCAGATGTTTAAATTGTGCTGTCAATTTGTAAGCAGGACTTTGGGGTTAGATCTAAATATCATGGCTACCTCCATATTTCATCATGGTCACAAGATGTAAACAGGACAAGCCCTAGCCCTAGACAAAATCTGGAGGTGGCCTTAATATTTAGATATGACAGAACCAGGGTTCATTGTATCATTTGAGGGACTAGTCACTCTTTTCCTTTTCAGCCTGGGGGTTGGATGGCTGAATGGTTAGCGCATGCACATTGTATAATAAGATCTGTCTTTGCGACGACTGGTGTGGTTCCAATTACCTGTTGTTGGGTCGCCTGTCCAACCTCTTGGGGTTTTCTCAGGGTTCTGGGGTTTCCTCCCAATGATCTGATCACTGACAAGGGGTCCATACTAGTATCCATTCAGATTTGAAACAACTATTTAAAATACAAGAAATAAATATACCTGCCACCTCCTTCATGTAGTCGAGGAAGAATCTGTACATACTCTTTTCTTGGATATACCCATTCGAACCTTCCTCAGAAAATTTTACTTTTAACAACTTAACTAATGTTGGGTAGGTCAGCAGCAAAGTTTTCCCATTATTCATGTCGAACAAAGACATTAGATCTTTCTTAATTTGGCACAACTGAAATATACTATTCAAAAAAAGTAGGGGATATTTGATTTTGGGGGCATAATACTAAAATATGCAAATGACTACGAAAAAAGTCACTATAGAACCTAACAGAAGAAACATTTCTAGTTACATGTGACGCCCAAACGCACCAATAGCTACCGCATGGAATGCAGGTGATGCTTGGGATCATCATGGGGGTCCAACTCAAGATTTGCACGACTCTGACTTTGAATGTTACAGTCATTGTGGCATTGAATTCCAGGGTGGAAACATCAGTTTAATTGTTTTAGTGACCAGAAAACAAATTTTGATATGCGTCGGCTTACCCAAAATGAAAGGTTACGTGCCCTTGGCATGCTACAGATCGGCACAACACAGGCGGTTGTGGCGCGGACGATGAATGTTTCTCAGTCTGTCATAAGCAGGCTATGGTCCAGATACCGTAATACACAATCTGTACAGGACAGACCACGCTCAGGTCGACCAAGGGCGACAACTCAAGCCCAGGATCGATTTATCCGTACCTTGGCCTTGAGAAATCGTGTCATCACAGCAATTCAGATCAGCGCTCGTCTTCAAACAGACACTGGTGTGAGAGTGAGTGGCCAGACGATTCGGAATCGACTGCATAGGTGTCACCTTCGCGCCCGACGTCCTCGCGTGATCCCTTGTTTGAGAGATCATCACATTCAGGCAAGACGTCGTTGGTGTAGGGATCGTCAACACTGGGATAATCGACGCTGGAGCAATGTGATGTTTTCAGATGAGTCAAGGTTCACTGTTGATTTTTTGGACAGACGTAGGAGGGTGTGGCGTCGTCGAAACGAGCGCTTCCAAGACGTTAACGTCATCAGACATGATCGATTTGGGGGTGGTTCTGTTATGGTGTGGGGAGGCATCACTGTTGCTGGAAGAACGGCTTTACATGTTGTTGCAGGGCGTGTTACAGGCCAGTACTACCGGGACAACATCTTGGCAGTCCATGGTTTTCCGTTCGCACGACGTCATGGCCGCCGTTTCATCTTCCAGGATGACAACGCAAGATGTCACAGGGCCAGGATCGTTACAGGTTACCTCCAACAACAGAACATCACCACATTACCTTGGCCAGCACTGAGTCCCGACCTCTCCCCCATCGAGCATGTCTGGGACATGCTTGGACAGAGGTTACGTCAACGTCAACAACGTCCTGCCAATGTCCAAGAACTTGCTGCTGCGTTGTAACAGGAATGGGACAATCTGGACCAAAATGACCTTAGACGTCTCATTAGAAGTATGCCACGTCGGATCAATGCTTGTTTGGCAAACAGAGGAGGATTTACCCGTTACTGACTTGGTTGTGATGCTGTGGTAACTTTGCTGTTTGACCCCGGGTATCATTTTACCCTTATAATGGTCAGTCTGTGCCTTACTTAGTCTAACGATCATTTGGAATAAATCGATGAATGTGAACTTCATTTCAATTTGTCATTTGTTTCTTCGTCAGTTTCATTAGGTGACTTTAATAACACTTACAAATCAAATATCCCCTACTTTTTTTGAACAATATATATATTGGTAATACATATTTTATCTGGTTATCAGATATAAAAATACACTATTCTGCTAGGTGTATTTAGGTTATTTGTTAACCTTGTAATTGCTTAAAATGGGTGGTCTATCTGGATTGCGGATGATATTTTGGGTAAATTAGGTCTCATGGAAATAAACTAGGTCAGCAACATCAACCATCATGTAGGAGGATTTAGTCATAGCCTTTGGTGCCCACCCCTCACAGCTAATTTTGAGAAATTGGGGCAAGCAGTATCCATATTAGTAAACTGTGTTTGCAAAGTGACCAATCTAGTAAGAGTGCCCTGCCATCCTGGTGGACGGGGTTCAGTCTTCCTTGATTAGTTCCTGTTGGCTGCCATGAAACACTTGACAGTGTCACACTGGAATAGTGTAACACAGGGTAGTGCTGTACACATATGTACACAATGTGAATTGATCGTAATCCAGAGACATTTAAACTTTCTTATTTTTAAAGGCTTATAACAACTATTATTTTGTTGCACTGTAAAGTGCCCTTGAATACATCTTTGCGCTATGTCAATTTTGTAATAATTATAATTTAAACACTGTTATAACACATTAAACTTTAATACCTGCAAAATGCCAATTCTTTTCAATCCAATACTAAATTGTTTCATTTCTTGTGTGTCTGGGGTCAGAAGAACTCCCCTTGGATCATTTAACAAATAAGGCACTGGTCCACCTTCTAATAAAGACAATCCTGAAAGTAAAGATGGAAAGTCCAATTTTAAGTTTTTAGCGAATATGCAAAGTTATGGAAGTTACTAAAAACTAAAGGCCAATTAATGCTATGAGAATAAAATGATCTAACCATAATATATTTTTAAGTCATAATTTTGCTTATATACCTACCAACAACAATTCCAGCAATTTCAAAAGCCTTTTTGTGAAGCAATGTCAAGTATGCTTCATGTCCAATATCCTTCTCAGATACTAAATAGCCATCTTTTATCAATCTTTCTTTAATGGCTTGCAGAGCTAATGTAAGAAATTCTCGTCTGGGTCCTCCCATGTCAGATGCCTCTTCACCAATGAAAGTGACGTCTAGCAAATAGGATATATCTACATTTCTGGAAAACTCTGATAACATGTCATTAAAAATATCATCACGTGATATGAATATTTCAAAAGCTGTATTCTCCTTGCTGTCATAATCTTCTTCAAGTACATCCATTTTCTTCCCTCTAATAAATTTCTTGCTATATGTACTTATAATGAGATCCGGACTTTTTATATCACACCTGTGAGGTAAACAAAAGTTTCAAACAATGACTGTTGGCAACAAAAATACACCCACCACTGCCCTAGTCGTCCAAACAGATATGGGTTAAACAACGCATAAAAAATTTCAACAAGATGACTTAGGTCATCAACATTCCATGGAAACAAAAAAATATAAATCCAAAAAAATTCCTAAGTAGGAAAAGGCACAACTACTATAATAGGTTGAAGTGTGTACACACACAGTTTAAAAAAATATCTGGAACAATTTATATATATATGCTCCGGAAACAAAATCGGGACAGAGGTGCCCTTTTCAATATCCATCCCTATCTTCGTCTGGTGCAGGATAAAAAGAGCAGATCATAATTAAATGAGAGCTCAAAAGCAAAAAAATTGTTTTCAAGCATTTTAGGATCTAACAATATTTTGTAGCAAAGGCAAACAACACTGAAAGTTATATTATTTCCTCCTACGATGATAGACAACTAATATAAATTTCAGGGATCGACAATTATCGATAAGTGTTGAAAATCTACAGGCTTCTTCATTTCATTGAGATACACAACCCATATCAAAATACACACTGAATATTACCGGAATGAAATTTGAATGAAAGACAAAGATAAGCATTTGGTATGAATACAGTAATGGGAAATTTCAATCAATGCAAGTTTGACCAAAATATTACAACCATGTGAAAAAGGCTATACAATAATTAATAATTTAAACAGCAGGCAATCAATAAGACCTACTTTCTTGAAATTCTTGCATATAAAACCTCAAGAATAAACTATGGGATAAAGTATTTCTATTTTAATACCTACATTTCCAATAGTGTTTCTTTTAGGCACCGTTCACGATGTACATTTTCATCTTCGCTTCTTATACTACAAATACAAAAATAATTTAGAAATTAGTGTGACCCAGCTTGAATATATAGCAATATGCTATCAATGTTTCAAATTTGTCCTCCATTTTTTTTCTGTATCAAGCTAAACTAACAGTTTTATCGCTTTTCTGTTACTTTATGTAAGATTTAGCTGAAGACCCGGACGTTTCAACGTTAATAGTTTAAAAATTTAATCATAATTACTTTTTTTCTTAACTTGTTCGATCCCTGCATTGCCTGAGAAAGTTCATTGGGATTTCCCAGCATGGTTTCCCCTTGTCAATTGTGCAAGATGGAGGGCTTGTCAGAGGCAACTGTCTAGTTTTTGGGATGGGACAAAAATCTGACATCACCTGTATATCTCAGTGTGCATGTAAAAGATCCATTGACAGTTGGAATTCAATATAAGAAAAGGCCATAGTGCCTGCTCAGGCTAAATTTCCCTCATAGCACACACTGTATGTAGTATAACCATCTTCATTAGCACAGCCAAATGAAGTTACGAATGTATGAAGTTTGACAAGATTTAGCCTAAATCGTCTTGATAATCAAGTGCCAATGCTACAACAATCTATGAAGTCATGTGAATAAATGTCTAAATAATAATTTATAGTTAATTTGAAGCCAGACAAAACATCTGCAATAGACAGATTTGGCACTTAAATAATGCATACAGATTTAGCACTTAAATATTGCATCTTTAAATATGTTACACTAAAATTTTCCAGTCATTTACCTTAAGGCAGTCACAACTTCTGATTGTTTGTCATTCTCCCCAGCACTAAAAAAAAAATAGAAAATTTATTTCAACTCTTACTTGCAAAACTTTCATTCAAGGCTTCAATTTAATACTTTGATTTAGTTGACTTTCTTGGAGAGGAGACAGAAGGTTTAAAGTCTACTCAAGAAAAACCTGGTAATTTCTAGGCTTATCCGGCTTACCTGTGGTATAATAATATTTCAGTAATTTGCTTACGCTTAGGGGTTTGCGATGGGGAAAACATAGAGAAAACACAAGTTTCTCAGAAAAGAAAATGCAAAAATAAACAATACAAATAAGAATAAAGTTTTCGGTACAGACCCATAGATCTTCTCAGTTCAATTTCACAGTTAAATACAAGGCATCATATAATACTATTAATGCAAATGTTCAACAGATTGAGGTCAGATATACCTTTCACTCAGACCATTGCAGGTTGAAGAATGAATTTCTATGACATCTTTATTAAAACTGTCTTGACACAGCGGACACTGAACATAGTTGATTCTGAAAAATATTTAAATCATAATCCAATAAAGATATAACTTATAAATACCAACATATAATATACAAAACGAACATCTGAAAATAAAACAAACCAATAGAGAGGCTGATCTTCCCATCTTAATCCCAAAATAAACATTAATAAGTTGCACATTCGTCTCGTAATAAAGTATCGAGCAATCAAATTAGTTATCACTCTGTTAAACCAGAGCAGAAAATATTCACAAAAGAACATACATAAGTTTCATTACTCTTTCTCAACAATCTAACACTATGGCTGTTTTATTCCCAAATGAAAAGATGACCCAGACTTGTCTTGGTTTTGATTTAGGGAAACTATACACCAAGTTTCATCACTCTCTCAGTTAGAATCAAAGTAATCATGTCCCAGAGCATCAACCAACCCAATTGCATATCTCTGCTCAGTCCTTGCGGAAAATTATAATCATCAAACTCTGTCAAGGCATTTAACTGATCAACATCTTAAAACCGAGTTATTATGTTCCTTAGGCTAAAATTCACATCATCAAACTTAGTAAGGACATCCACACCAAGTATGAACATTAATTCTACCTCAATTGGAAGAAGAGTTATTCTTTGTACTTTTTCTCAACTATCTTCTAGTTAATGTCATTAAAAACAATATTAAGAATAAACAAGCCAACAGTGAGGCTGATGTCCCCCGCCGAAATCCCAAAATAAATAGATGAAACATATTAATTATTCGCCCATTTATTTTTTTCAAACGTATAGAGCAATCAAACTGTACATGAAGTGTCATCCAAAAGTGTTTTATAAAGAAAAATGCTAAAACCGACGAGAAAAATGAAAATGTACCCTAGTTAGGGGGACCCTAAAGGCAGACAAAGGCGCCCCTCTATCCAAGGGAAAGGGCCCTCGTGTCCGAATCATTCGTTTCTATACACTGTTACTGTCGAATCCATTACTGAATGAGAATGCAGTCATTGTATTGGCATAAAAATCATCAATCAAGATGAACCCAAGTTATCTTATCCCAAAGTATCAACCAATCAAATTGCTTATCTCTGCCTACCCTAAGCAGAAAATGCTCATCTTCAAACTCCATCAAGGCATTGACCTAATAAGCATACACACCAATTTTGAACATTTTAACTCAATTAGAAGGAGAGTTATTGTGTTCCAAAGTCTCGGCAAATCAAATTGCTTATCGCTCTGCTTACCCTGAGCAGAAAATGCTCATTATCGATCTTAGTCAAGGCATTACTGTAATGAAACTATACACCAAGTTTCATCACTCTCACTTAATTAGAACTAAAGTTATCGTGTCCCAAAGCATCAACCAATCAAATTGCTTATCTCTGCTTACCCTAAGCGGAAAATGCTCATCTTCGAACTCCATCAAGGCATTGACCTAATAAGCATATACACCAAGTTTGAACATTTTAACTCAATTAGAGAGCGAGAGAGAGAAATGGGGTTTAACATCCACTCAACACAACTAGGTCATTTCAGGACTAACATATGGTTTAATTTTATTTCAACAATCCGCTTGCGCGTAGGAATCTTTAGCAGTGGGAGGAAACCGGAGTGCCTGGAGGAAACCCACGAGGTTAAGAAGGCGCCCCTATCTCCATGCCACATACGCTCACACCAGGGCTCGAAACCACAGCCGCAAGCCAGAGGTGACGGCCAGCTAGAGGTCAAAGCGTGGCACTTTAGACCACTAGGCCATCCCAACCCCCAACTCAATTAGAAGGAGATTTATTGTGTTCCAAAGTCTCAACCAATCAAATTGCGTATCGCTCTGCTTACCCTGAGCAGAAAATGCTCATTATCGAATTTAGTCAAGGTATTACTGTAACGAAACTATACACTAAGTTTCATCACTCTCACTTAATTAGAACTAAAGTTATCTTGTCCCAAAGCATCAACCAATCAAATTGCTTATCTCGGCTTACCCTAAGCGGAGAATGCTCATCTTCGAAATCCATCAAGGCATTGACCTAATAAACACATACACCAAGTTTGAACATTCTAGCTCAATTAGGAAGAGAGTTATTGTGTCCCAAAAAGTGTGAAGGACAGACAGACAGACGGACGAACCCATTTTAATAGTCCCAACTTTATTCGAAAGGCGGGGGACAATAAAATGTGAACATATCGTGATATTAAACATAACAAGTGCCAGTATGAATGGGAATAGTGAATCTCAACAATGCGTAAAATAAAACATAGATAAGGTGCCCCACGCAGCGAAAATTTGCTCTAATAACTGCTGTTTACCCTCAAATGATGAGCTCTCAAGTGATTACACAACAGAGATAATCAGCAGTATGGTAGTGTAAATATATACATCTTTCAAATTAATATATGAATATTTTGGCATTATTATCAATATGTTTGGAGATATTTTTTGATGGTGGGGCACCCTATACCAGACTATTAATAACACATTCAAATTACTTTGCCGGAGTTTCATCTAAATTTTCTGTACATTTCACTGCCTGAAATAACAAGTTCAGTAAACACTTCCACCATAATCAGACATGAAGAGTTATTTTTGTACAGCAATTTGAAGCTTATATCATAAACCTCAACTGTGACAACCATTTTAGTAAAATATACAACTGGGTAGATTTTATGAAAGTTGATCAAAATTTACCAAAGTATTAAGTCTGTTTAAATTCATTGCAATTCTCTAGTCATGAAAAATAAATTAAATTAACACCCTTATTAGTTGCATCAAACATTTCCCTGGATTTAGATTGGGATAACGGTGAATTGAAATGGGGATTAACATCCTATTTTTCTGAACCGGCCCAGATTGTTTAAATAATAATGCACCAATCAAAGATATCCTTTTGCATTTTAGTATGAAAACAATCTTTTTTTTTACAAGTGTCATAAATAGTTTATAAGTGAAATACATACCGGTACACAAGTATACTTGCATATTGGTTGTTGCGACTTCTTCATTGGCTTAAAATTGATCTCTGGTAAAATATCTAGGTCATTATCATCATTGTTACAATTTTTCTGAAAGTAAATGAAAGACATTTCAACTTACATTAAATATAAGAACGCAAGTAAAATACATAAAGTAAAGAAAAATGAAAGGTCTTGCAAGATTAAAGATGAATTGGTCATTATAATACTAGTTGCTCTATTATAAAATGTAACATGCCAATAGTGAGGCTGATGCCTGCGCATTAAATCTCAAAATAAAAAGATGACACATATTACTGATTTGGGGGTTGGGATGGCCTAGTGTGTCTCGCATTGAGCTCCAGCTGGTAGTGGCTTGCAATCATGGTTTTGATTCCTGGTGCGAGCACATGTGGCTTAGGGATAGAGGCACCTTTCCCTCCCGGGAAAGAGTATTGCGCATACACTCAATATACTGAAAAAAAAATTAATAATAAGACAACTTGTCTTCGTTATCACACTAGGGAACAAGCTTAGTTATGGTATTGATGTAGGTAAATTTGTAGTAAGGTAAGTTTCACTGTAATCATAACAAGAGTCATTGTTTAAAATAATCCCTGAAGAACAACACAACAGGCGAAAATGTCAACTTAATTAAAATTGAATGTTAAATACTTACATCACAATCCTCTACATGCCTCCTCAAATTCTTTAAGGGTATTTCATCATTGCATATTATACATACTTCAGTTGGTCCCTGAGACAAGTCCTAGAATTACAATGGGTAATTTAAAGTACAGAAGAACAACACCACACATAGCTGAATAAAGTCCAAAAAGACAAACCAATACATAAGACACATCAGTACACACAAAACATTGCAATCAAGTGAATGTTCCCAAGTCTGTCCTTAAGCATCCATTGCAACTGCAGCCCATATTCCCAAAGCAGCAGAGATACAGACGTCAATCATAACGAAATACAACAAGAAGAGAGGCAGCTAAAATCCTGAAAACGATAAATGAAATTGGTTTTAACGTCCTACTTTTCTGTATCAAATACATAAAATCAAACATAATATTGTGAGGGAAAATTTGCATATCTGCCTACCTACTCTCCACTAAATTCAAACTTTTATGGGTTCATTTGCGAACCCAAAACACCTTACATCATGATTGTCTGTTATAAAATATATCAATGTCAGTACATTAAAAAAAAAAAAATGATTAAGATCTTATTAATTTGTAGAAATGGGGCAAACCATAATGCAAAATCCAAAACAGGGGATGCAATTGATAGGGTCAATATATAGTACAATGTAGGAATGAATATATTAAACACAGTAAGGACACAATTCCTTCTCCAAAAAATTATGTACTAAATTTAATATGAAAGAAAAAACTTACATCACCTTCTACAGATACACTGGCAAAGGCCAAATTCCTTTGGATTGGCCTTGCATAGCACATTGCTTGGCCCAAACAGCTCTCATTTGCTAAATAGTTTGTGTGGAAGCCCGTAGATGGCTGAATCATTAGTTCCAAAGACCATCTGCTGCCAAATTCTGTTCGCAGAAGTTCATATCCACCGCAGGGCTTGAGTGCCGGAAATACACTTTCCAATTTTTCTTTAAAGTACAGAGGGTTGTCATTTTTTTCAAATGTTACTTTTTTCTCACCCAGTCCATTTTCAAATGATTCTTTCTTTTGTTCTCTAGTAGGTACAAAATTCTGAAAAAAAAAGTCAAAATTCAATTAAATTACTAAACAGGAATCTAATCAGTAAAAGGATTATCCTTTGCTTGCTTCTTTTTCCACTGTCTAATCTCAGAGTTCAGTAGCCCGATTTACATGATCCACCATTATTCCAACTCATATACGGTAATAATAATTTATATCTATATTTGATAATTAATATATTCACTGTTTTTGTGTCAAAATTGGTATTTTAAATTGAAATTGGCAATTGTTTTTGTTAAAAAAAACGTTTCTCAAAATGTGATTTCTAAGCAAGTGATTTGAAGCAATACATGGGTTATGTCCCTTAGTTACAAATTCCATACTTGCTTAGAGATCGCATTTTGAGGAGGGAATTTTAACTTAAAAATTTTATGAATTTTAATGAAAATAAAAATTCAACTTTAGGAAATGAATATTATCAAATATTGATATAGATTATTGTGATATTAGTCAAAATAATGGTAGATCAGGTTTGGAATAAAGAACGTGGTGTGTATGCAATTTCAAATATCGATATATAAGTTATGAGTTGAAATTTAATGGTGGATATGGGTAAATCATGCTACATCACACAGTCTGCAGTATCTCCAAGTCTTCCTCCTCTGTTCTCACAATCGCTAGCCATATACAACCAACAACTCATTCTCTAAAATTATTCACTGTGACTGACTGTCTTATGTTTATGTGATTCAAGGGCTCATATTTTCACAGTACTAAGATACCATCACTATTGACGAGAATGGACCATACCAATAATTTGTGTGTATATCATGATGTCGAAGACTCTGTATACTGTTGTTAACGTTACTTTTAGTGTTAAACGTAAAACAAAGTAAAATGTAAAATATTGTAAAATGCTACCAAGTATTAATACATATAAATTTCGCACCTCAAAGTTGCAATTTCATATTTTTAAGTTATATTTTTAAAATGTATTAAAGTAAAGCCTTAAAGATTGTACCTATAAACAGTCCTACCTAGTTAAAGAATAATCCTATTTATCCAATAATTCACCATTGCCAGTTGAGAAATTGGCAAATATATCATTTTCAACTTTAAATTCAAACGTTTGAAGATAGCTATACCATTCGGGGAATGTAAAAACAAGGGAGGTAATTGTGTTATTATTTCCTGTGTCAATGATTTTAAAGTGTGGAGAATAATGACTATGGTCGTATAATAGTGAGTTGACCGCCTATTTATTATTGAGCAAAAGACATAGAAATAATTATTTATATCTATGTTTTGAATTTCCGGTTCTTTGAAAATATGAAAATTGAAATTATCGCTTTAACTAGGCCTAAGCGTCAGTACCTACCTGGTCTTTGTCAATTATTACAGAGAACCTGTGCGTCCAAAAACTCACAGGCCCACTGACTGAAGTGACAGTGGCAGGGAAATGTTTCTTAGTACTAGGCCTAGTGCCAGGCCTGCTGTAACTACTGTACGGGGAAAAAAGCTTCTTGATTTCTGATGCCATGGGTGGAGCATGTGAGGTTGGTACATGTATTTCGGGTTTATTATTCTTAATATTATCTGTTTGTTGGGATTCTGATACTTCGGTAAGTGCCTGTGCGGCCTGCTTTAAAAGATTCAGAGCTTTCGATTTGGCAATTGAATCTGACATCTTTTAGCCGGTTGTGCCAATGCCGTTATTCGTAATTGTTGTCGTAAAACAGTATAAACTTCCGGCCGTGAGCAGTAATTGCGTGGATAGCTGCGCATACAGTGGCGACACCAAACGATGTCATAATGACGGTTGCTAGGTGGACGTATCAAATTCTTAATTTGTTCAATGTTCATTCTAAACATGTTAAGCGTTGTTGAAATGAAAATTTGTCCTTACAATAATAGAAATAACATGAAATAGAATAAAAATTGCAAGATTAGAAGGCCCCATTTACGAGGAACAACTGAAGAAATTAGAATATACATTGTCTTAGATAAGAAGTTACACGAATAGACGTTAGAAGTTAGACGATAGCACGTTAGAAGTTAGACGATAGCATGTTAGAATTTTGGCACTAATATACCGCCATACTGTACTACTTATATTAAATGCTCATTTTAATTGAAGATATGGTTATCAGTTAGCTTATACATAAACGACTTACTCTGTAAACTGACTGCTTAAACTACATCAATTATTGTTCACTTTATGGCAAGATTTCCTAATCCGTCAGCCATATGGCAAGTTAATATGATCTTAATTATCCTGTTCGAGTATTATTAGTCTTCATTGACTATCACGATGGACGTGACCCATGTGGTGACACTGTTATATCTTCATGCGAGGATAATATTGTCCTTAGTTATGTCATTTTCTTTCATATATATTCTTATTTACTTATATATATGCACTGAAAAAACCCTTGTGTTGGATCTCAACACAAGAACTTGTGTTAAAAATATTTAACACATGTTTGTGTTGTATTGCATTGCAATGACACAAGTTTGTGTTTTTTTCAATGTCTTAACACAAACTTGTGTACATTTATAAAATCTTATGTGTTTTTTTTCCATATAATTAATTACGTCGGGTGTGAACGATGGCAGCATAGGACATGTAATACTGGTAAGACTTTAATGTTGTTTTTTAAATTCAAAGCTATTGTATTAAATTCAACACTATTGTACTAAATTAAAAACTCAACACTATTGTATACTCAATTCAAAACTCAACACTATTGTACTAAAAATATTGTATCTTTCAGATATATCTAGAGCTCAGTACCGCAGGATGGTTAAAGAATTGACAATGGTGGCCTTCAAATGTATTGAATGTTCAGCACCTGATGAAACCACGAGTTTTACTTCACCGAGGGCGGAGAGTACAAGACTGTCTTTACCTGTTGATCAGACTACATTCCATTTATCCGTTTGCCCTGATGTCGATATGCCAGAAAATATCCAGGAAAAGTAAGTACAAGCATAGTTTATCACATCCAGAACAAGTTTTAGTATTATCCTTATCCTATATCATAATCTATACAAGTTTTTTTATATTGTTAACATTCAGTTTTTATTGTATTTTTATTATGAACAGTTCATTGACGGATGAGTCCATAGGCGACGATTTATCACATGTTTTATTCACAATTAGTTTTTTATATTTTTGTAGACTGCTTACAGCCAGAAAGATGCTGTATATAAGTTTTTTTAGAAAAGTCCTTGCCTTGCCATTCCTACCCGCTGAACATATATTGCCAACATTCAATAAATTAGAAGAAAAGGCCACAACCGATCAAATTAAAGTGGTTATGAAATACATAATGGATAATTGGCTGACCAGTAATATATGGACCATCCCAACATGGAGCGTGTTTGGCAGGACAATCCGAACCAATAATGATGTCGAGGGATGGCATAATCGAATCAACCAAAAGGCCAGAAAAGGGAATTTACAGTTTTATCTACTGATATCTTTGTTGTATAAAGAAGCAGCGCAGCTACCGACACAAATGAAAATGGTCTCAGAAGGAAAATTAAGAAGACACCAGAAAAAACAATCACGAACTACACAAAGCAAGTTATTTCAACTTTGGAATTTATATACCAGTCAGGAAATAAGCACCAACCAGCTACTAAAAAGATGTGGGGGATATATGGACCGAACTGAAGGACAGACTTACGTAATAAATGACTGACTGAACGACAAACTGACAGACTAAATTACTAAATGACTGGCCTAATAAAATGTATTAGTTGATGATATTGTTGAGGTTATAATAAAATGTATTATTTAATAAATTGTTTATGTAATAAATTCATACATAAATGTATTATTTAATAAATTGTTGATGTGATAAATTCATACATAAATGTATAATTTAATAAATTGTCGATGTAATAAATTCATACATAAATGTATAATTTAATAAATTGTTGATGTAATAAATTCATATATTAGTGATTATTTGTGGTATTTATTTGTAACTTGGAATGAGTCGGGTGTTTTAAAAGTTGGGATGAATTGTCTTTTGACTTGGGATGAGTTGTCTTTTGACTTGGGATGAGTTGTCTTTAAAAGTGGGATGAGTTGTCTTTTATTGGGATGAGTTGTCTGGGATGAGTTGTCTTTGGGAATCTTATTATGTTCCTTTATCACTAGCCTATATGTAAAACCACTCTTCCTGAATTTGAATGTCGAGTAATTCACTTGATTTATTTTTTAATATTTCTAATTATCTAAAAGGATATATTAATTATTACAAACATTAAGTAGAAATCGCAATGTATGTATCGTGCGATGCATTTAATAACTCTTTTAAAACAACGTATTTTATAACAGTATACTGATATAAGAGATCAAAGTTTTAGTCAATTATTATCTAAATATAAACTATTTATTTAATTAGATATAATAAAAGATTATTCTGATTCTACTCTTTGTATATTTTCACATCTTGTCTCAGACAATATACAGAGACAGGTTATTACAATGTCTGCATTTGGCAGTGTCTGATTGATATCGCCCCAATAAACTTGACACATCAAAGACAATAACAATTGTGTTATATCTACGTTTTAAAAAAATGTTTGAATGGGCGTGGAAATAGTCGAGTTAATCTTTTTATTTAATTTAATTGGTTCATTAATCGAAATTGGAAATTTATTCTTACCTGTAAATGACCAATTAAAATGAATTACTCTTAAAACAAAGAAAGAAATATTTATTGAAGTAATTTTGCGGTATTAAACCCTTTGGTACTGCAAATGTTAACTGTATTATTAAGCATTAGTATCGAAAAAAGTGATATTGTTGTGAAAAAAGTTTGTTCAGAAAATAAGAATATAAGGTTTGTGATTTTGGTATTTTTTAATACAATGTATTTATAACGCAAATCTTTCGTTTCGGTTAAAACAAAATATACCTCCATTTTAATTGGCCGAAGGATGTGTGACTAATAGAAATATGGCGGGCGGACAAACTGACCAAACAGTATATTTCGAGGTATTTGAGGTAAGCTAATTTAATATTATATCATAACTGCATGTGCATAATTGTGTTTCTGTTTGATTAAATATTCAAAAAATCATTCTTAGGATACAACCTCGACACCAGTCCGCCCTGAATTGCAATGTTTGTTTTGTGTTCTGGGCGCCATTTTGAATATAATACAATCCAGCGATAGTGTAGTCTAATTCCTTTAAAAGGGAATCCGAATTTGTTAATTTTCTGCAATACCACTTCGGTGGAAGCGGACGTTAAATAAAGCTATTTCACGTACAAAGACCTACAATAAAATCCAGGTGAATTGGGAAAAATATTCATGTATTTTCTTGATGAAGAGTAGCTATTTCAATTTGTAAATGCCCAGTCATCTTAGACAAATAATAATTCCAACTTCAAATCAGTTGTATTTATTCAAATCATACCATAACCATGAAGAATTGTATTTTTCCACTTGCATAATAATAAAAACTTGACTTTTATTATTTTATTTCTTCAGGCCAAGAGCATGGAAAATTGGTAATTGCCTTGTATCACTGCTAACTATAAATCACAGGGAGCCTTGGGCAGAAATGATAATATGGTTCTCAGATATGTTACTGTGTACAGACTGAACAGAAAATATTTATACACTTGCTATTACAGTACTGGCCAAATTAATAGCAATTTTTTCTAAAAACGTTGCAGAAGTAACTCACTAAAATTGAAGTATGAATAAAATCATACACCGTGAATATATTGAACTGAATATTCTTACACATAACCATAGGCGTACGGGGAAATTTTTGACTGGGGGGCGGTGGTGGTTGGTGCCCCAAAAATGTAGTTAGGTTCTTAGTATGTTACATAATAATAATAAATTCGCTGTTGAATTGGACACATTCAAGAACACAATATTTTTTTATACAACTTTTACAAAGTACAATTGTGTGCCCAAATTTTCCCAGCATTTGGTTCCCAGCCCCCCCCCCCAGCTCGTACGCCTATGCACATAACCATATTGACATCTACTTCACATTGCATGGTTGGTCGACGCAACGCCGTGTATAGATAAAGTTGCGACAACTGTGAAGCCAGGAATTTCATATGACGTCATGCAAACTTATTATCTATTTATATGACCTATTATATTGTTGGATGTCATAGATTTCAGCGAATAAGTGTATATAGGACATAAAACATACATTTTTTAAACGAAAAGTATAGCTGAACATACTATTATTAGTATTATACAACAAGAAGCGCACATTATTGTTATATAGCCTTATTCTATAAGAAAAATCAAAATAAAAGATACACTAGATAAAAGTACTATTAAACCAGGGGCGGATCTAGGAATTTTGAAAAGGGGGGGCGCTGCAAAATGAAGGCATTGACCGCGGAGACGGGGCTTGCCGCTGAGGGGGGGGGGGGGGGTCCCCAAGAAAATTATCCGTCATTTCCTTGCATCTGTAGCCATTCCAAGAGCTATTTCCCAGACTGGTGTGTTTGAGTCGATGGTTCGAGTCATTTGTGATCCCTACAACGGGTTGGGAACGGACATATTTGAGTCTGAGAAACGGCCCTTTCAGCCGTAAAAAAGGGCACTGTTGAAAATTAGGGGGGGGGGGCGCCCCTCGCGTCCCCATTGAATCCGCCTCTGATTAAACATATTTAACTTGCATTCGCTTTTAAAGGAGCTAAATCGCTAATATTTGGGAACTAGAAATTGTCACAAATGGTCGCACTAACCTTGATGTTGACAAATACGTAAGACGATATGAACATCAAGGTGATATATGCATATATGCAGCATAGATAATTAAAACTTCTATTCAAGTTAAACCAACTGTATCTATTTATGTCTTACGTCGAGCTGAATACATTTTAGGATTTATTGTCATTAAAACATCTATTGGTGGTTAACAGTGTGTAACTAAAAACTAAAATTGGATCTTATTATTGCCA